ATCGGGCGTAGAATTGAAGATTTTAGAGTGACAAACTAAAATCCCCAATTCGGTCCTATCGTTTGGGTGTTGAAGTGTAGATGTTAGCCCTCAGGCGAGGGGAACGTGGGAGCTCCGAAGTGAGAGCCGGTATCCTCTCAGCCTAGCCGCAGATTCAGTAAACAAGCGTAGGATTAATCAATATTCTTTATGCCTGGACCAAAGGGTAAAAAATAAGTATGCTCTTATTTGAGACAATATAATTTGAACTAATTCACTTTATCCATTCACTATAATTTATTGACAAGGAGAATGATGATTTCTTATATATTGAATATCACATTTAAACCTTCATTAATATCATTCGTTATTTAATAGTTATTAAAATTACATATTTATTGCAATTGTCTATTAGTGACAAATAAGCAAATTGAATTTTGTTGTTGTGATTAAAGTATTACTTTTTCTAAAATCTTAGTTCGTAGATCTAATTCTACTCCACGTGGGATCAATAGGACTCCATTAGAGCCATATATTACTTGAGTGATATGTATACTTGCGTTGATAAGTGTGATTTATAAGTGTGATTTTATATAATTATTGAATATTTATTATGTCTATATTTATCTTATATTTTTAAGCATATATAAAGTCACGGTCACCTCTCCCCTCACAGCCCCAAAAATAGAAATGAAGTCCACATTTCTTTTAAAATGAGGACAAGGTCAGGCTTAAACCAGCCTCCCAAAATTTTCCCCCTTCTTTTTCCTAAAATGGTCTCATGATCCCTCCTAGAAGTCGTCCAAAAGAGGTATGATAACAAATTTTTGCATATCTCATGCAAATCTTCCAAAATCCCCAAGAAATTCTACAATTTTGGCCCCTTGGAGTGCACCAGATATCGATGTGAAAAAGCAAGTTTTTTTGCAACTTGAAACTGGACCGGCGCCTAGGCGTTGTGACCCTGGTCCCTATGCACCCAGCCTTGCTCTCTGGCGTTAGGGCTCTAGCACCTAGGCTCCACAAAGGTGGCGCCTACTTTTCCGCCTCTAGGGAAAACAAAGTCGTTTTGAGTGTTTGGGCGCCTAGGCGCTCAGGATTGGCGCTTAGGTGCCCAATCTGGGGCATATGCACCAAAAACTAGCACTAAAATTCCATGGGCTTGGTTTTTAATGTATGGAAAGGAATTTTAAGCACCTAGCCGCTCGGGACTGGGGCCTACATGTTGGTCTAGTCTGAAAACACTGATTTACATTGGGAGCACTCAACAAAGGATTTTCTCAATCCATTAGATATTGTAGACTTCATATGAGTGAAATGTAATCCATAAATTTAAAATTGACAATTTTGATCTACCATTCAATAGGGAAATTACTGCCAACAAACGTTCTGGACTGTGGCGCATGTATGATGCTCTAAACCCTCTTCCCGGATGACCGTAAAGGCCATCATCGGCCCGGAAGCCGCAAAAAGTAGACTATTACTAGAATACAATAAATGTGAAAAAATGTTTGTCAAAAGTGAACATTTTAGGAGTTTTAACTTGGGGTTTTTGGTGTCGTCATGCTTCCTGGACCCTCGTGGGGGTAAAATTGGTCCGACCCTGAATTTTTCCAAAATGTGTATAGGAGAACTAAGAGACTAAACTTGGACCTCAACATTAAAATGGATGTAAAACAGGTCTGGAGTTAGGGCCAATAGCACCTCACGGTGAATTTTCCCCGGTAGGGGCAAATCCGTACCAATCTCGGTTTCACGCTTGTGACACGTACCAAGAGGTCTAATAGGATGTATTAGTCATAGGGAAACTAAGCATAGTTCTGTACTATCTGAGAAACATCCAGCTCATGCGACATCATAAAAATTGATGCCAACAGGAGGATTGCATTTTGCTGATGGAGGTCGCTTATAATAATATCTTTTAAGCTTGCTAGTATGATGCAGGTCGATTATAATAATATCTTTTAAGCTTGCTAGTATGATGCTATTTTCTCATCTTTATGAAGGAAATGTAGATCTTGTTTTTATTAGTTTGAGGTTGGTGAAGAAAACCCTTAGAATGTTAGCTAGTTGATTAAACTCTAAAGTAGATCCAACAAATTAGAGAATAACTACTCTCATCTCAGAAGTGCCAGAAAAGACAATTTGACCTTAAATATGGACAGATTTGAGTTAGAAGTTGGATATCATATCTGTATCAGAGATAAAACAAAAAAGAAAAACGACTACCTTGCTTTATTATCCTTTTTGAGGTGATAAGAAAGATCATCGAAGATTCATATTGAAGCATCTTCCTTTAGACTATGAGAAGTAGATGATATTTTTTGTCTTAATGCTATGCATTAGATGCATGATGATTCTCATAGTATTTAGTTTGAGCCACTATTGTTTCAATAAAATATAAGTTATAAAGAGAAATCTAGGTGCATTCTTAAGTATGAAATTTATTAACTCTATTAACGATCTATTAATTTTGTTAGAATACTTCACATGTGTCAGTTAGGAGTATGAAGTAATGTGAGAGATTGATGAAAAAGTTGTCACAAAGTATCTAAAGGTATTCTAAAAACAATATATGAATTTGGGAATCAATTTATTTATACGTGTGTAGTTGTAATTTTCAAACCAAATCGGTTCGACCATGAACTGAACCACTAGAACGCTTTCTTATGACTAAAATCATTGAGGCCCTCAACTCTCCTCCCTTAAATCATAAATTGTTAAGCTCCATCAGCCAACCGTATTTGCCACAACTTCCCATGCTTGCGGAATTTCTTCTGTTGTGATACAAAGAAGATTAAGAGCTAGGATATACAATTACTCTCGTCTCCTTTATAGTCACTAAACTCATTCAACGAAGCAATTGTCTTCCTTACCGTCTTTCTCATTTTGAGTTATAGTACTTGTCAACCCTCCTTAGAATTGATCTTCCTCCTGATCTGCCAATAACACACACACACACTCTCTCTCTCTCTATGTCTATGTGTGTGCGTTCTCACCGTTGCAACCATCTCCCTCGCATCCTTTTCTCCTTCAACAAAAAAATAAAAAGTGAGAAGCCTTCTCATCCCCAAAAATATTTGTTGGATTGCTGATGTTAAGTGCTAGAGAGCTTGTGCATAATGCATCATCCGTATTCCTTCTTCCTTATAAAAAATTTAGTTGAAACTTATATTGATTACTGGTCATTAAAAATATTATATTTAATATTTATTCTGAAAACTTTAAATTAGGTTATGAAATTAGGTTTTAATATTATTGGTTTTGTCGAATAAAAATGATAATTAGCAATGTCGTTATTATTTAGCTACTTGTTATAAACTTGTCACATCAATTTTTTTTTTTTTTTTGCTCATAATGAAATAGTAAATTACATAAATATCTCTTCCATGATTTATTGTTACAATGATTTTTGTATGTTAAATTAAATGAATGTTACTTTTTTTAAATACACTAAGTTTATTCATGCAACCCAAGTTTGACATATCAATAACATTAGTCATATTATTTAATAAATAATTTCTAAAAATTTCTTATATAATATATAAAGATGTATGTTTCTATGCAATGATAAGTAGGTTGGCATAACCCTTTTTAGCACAAGTTAACCAAGCTGAAAGGCCCATAGAGTTACAACTTTATATAAAATTATTTTATAAAATTGATTAAATATATGTAAAATAAAATAAAATAAAATAAAATAACAAATAACTGCTTAGTCATATTTATATAGTTGTCTATAAGCATCACAATACTAGAAATAACTTCAAAATATGTGACATGTTGCATGTAGGCACTGCAAGTTCATTTAAATATGATAAAATTTATTATGTGTTATCATACATAGTAAATTATCTCTTTTGTGTTTATGTTATATGCCCTAAATACTTTATCATGTACAATATTATAAATAATAATTTATGATTGGGTTTGATTTATCAACTCAATCGTTGCACTTTCTATGATTGATGTGATTAGTACAAAACATGATTCTCTACTTCATCTCGTAGGATGTCGTTGTTATATGTTGCCTTTCGGACCGCCACAGTGGTGACATTGATGGCCAATTGCATGAAATTCTATAAATGTTTAGCCTTTGAGTTAATAATTCATTTGAAATAAATTTGATATAATTTAAAATTGACTGAATGTATAGCATATACTAATTATAAATATATATATAATATTTTTAATCAATAGTAAACATCATTTATAATTTATAATTAATGAATACATTATAAAAGTATTGAAACAAATTCAAATTAATTCGAAACTAATTAAAACCAAGCATGACTTCAAAAAAGAAATATTTGGCTTTTAGTTTCAGCATCCAATGTACTTACATATCTAGGGCCTAAATATGTATGTTTGTACGTGTATATATATGCAGTCATGCCATCTTACATATGAGAAAATGTGTATTTCACATTTTAAAAGTAAAAACAGTGCCATTTTTTTTTATCTGTTCAGAAAGATTTGGGGGGGGTACAAATGTAAGAAGAAGTAAATCATAAATGTTAAACATGTAAACACATAGGAATTATGTGGTATTCATGTAAGTAAATGACACAAAAAACAAAGCATTGCCGAAACTTCATAACTGGAACAATAAGTCCAAATACTGAAACACCTATCAAACTCCAGAAAATAATTGAGTTTGCATTTAATTCAACTGTAAACTTTCTTTCAACCATTTCTGTAATTTACTAATCACTCACTAAATGTTCAATTAGACCCAGCATTTCATTGACAAAAGAAATAAACCCAGCACACCCCTACCAAAAAAAAAAAACAAAAAAACAAGAGTCTCTGAATAGAGTGCCAAACCGTCATCATCCAGCATCCACATTTCACAGAAGCACAGTTCCAATTAAGTTTTCTGCAGCGCCATTTTAACAGAATCGTCTTCTCTGGATACAAACCATTAAAACTTGAACTTAGATAAAAAAAGTTTAGGTAGCCAAACAAGCTTCAATATATCTAAAACAGATCAAATCATTGAGCGTTCCAAAGATCGGTTCTTAAATAAAATTTTAACTGACCCGCTGCTTAATTTGCAGAGCTTCCAATAGTTCTGCAGCATGGATTTGCTTTGCAATTGTAGCATGCAGTACCTGAAAAAATAATTATAAGTTCAGAGCTTAATATACGGGAATAAATGTGGATGTAAGAACGACCAGACTGCCAAGCGAAAAAACCTCATAACACCAGAAGGCTACTTAAATAGGTGTTGCAAATATGTACGCATTCCGATGAAGATTTTCAGTTACACAAGTACTTGTTCCTTTACATGCATACCATACAATTTTCAAGTATTTAGGTGTCTAATGCATGAATTTTCATATTTATATGTATAGCACTAAAATTATAAATATCACATAAAAAATATCATTATTATTATTAAGTTTTTTGAAGTAATATATATACTTTTTTTATGCATAGATTTATGACATTGAGATATTATTAAATATAAATATCAAATTTAAGGTGTTATCGTTTATCAGAGCAGTAAACACTGCCGTTGCCGGTCCCAAGCCCGGATGAGAAAAGTGGAGGGTTGCGTTAGGTAGTCGACAGCCAGCGTAAAACTTGTCGAAAAAATCATGACATGAATCCTTTTGAACATTGTGTAAGTGCTAGGGCGTCCCCTGGAAGCGACGCGCTGTATAGCCTGAATACAGTGAAAAGTGTGCAAGGGTCGCTACACCGGCGCCCGGGTGTAGTGTTAAATAAGCAAGGGTTCCCACATTACGGGCGAATGCGGGTAAAGAAGTTAGTCCATGAAACTAATGAAACTAATATTAGGATAGGATCTTGGAATATAGACACTCTCAATGGTAAATTAATGGAATTAGTTGATATTATGATTCATAGGAAAATTAATATCTTATGTATTCAAGAAACTAAGTGGGTGGGAGAAAAGGCTAAGGAGATTGATAATGTAGGTTTTAAACTTTGGTATTCAGATAAGAGATCTTTCTTTTC